TTCTAAAAAGTCCGCATAAGAGCCAAAACGGACGTCAATTAAATGTGCTCTGCCCCCACCCCTCCCGCCGAGACTTATAGGCTGAAAAATACAGTATTTAAAGTTCTTAATCAACAAAATCGTATGAAATAAGTTTGTATTTTTCTCAGAAGATTTCTCAACAGAGCAAATGTGCTTCAGATCAGGTTTTTTAATGTGCATGTTAGTGACCATCCATGCGTTTTAATATTTACAATTCCAGGTTCTGAAGATGAGTTACCCAGGATACCCACCTCAATCCGGCGGATACCCGCCACAGGCAGGGGGTTACCCACCACAGGCAGGGGGCTACCCACCACAGCCAGGAGCATATCCACCTCAGTCAGGCGGCTACCCTCCAGCAGGTGGTTACCCCCCACAGGGTGGTGGTTACCCTCCTCAGGCAGGTGGTTACCCTCCTCAGGCAGGTGGTTACCCTCCTCAGGCAGGCGGTTACCCCCCTGCAGCAGGCGGTTACCCCCCAGCAGCAGGGGGCTTCCAACCTCAACCAGGTGGCTACCCTGCCCCACCTGGAGGCTTCCCTCAGGCTGGTGGATTTCCTGCACAACCTGGACAAGCAGGTTATCCCTCCATGCCTCCAGCAGGTGAGAATACAACAAATATAAAACTGCCAAAGTAATTATACATTAGGTAAATTTAGAGTTTAATAACATTTTCATTGTTATACCAATGTTTGCTTTGCAGGTGGAGGCTGGGGTGCAGCACCAGGTGGCTACGGCATGGTACATAAATCCTTATCTGTTCACATCGGAAGTGCAAATTCATTAATGGACAAACTTGGGCGTTTGCTGAAATCACCGTATCTTCACCAACCTCAGCGGTTCTAAATGAAGTTTGTCGTCCTGTATAAAGTGCTTACAGCTTTTCTTTGTCTGCAGCCAGGAGCTCAGCAGGGATACCCAGGGGGCCCCGCCCCAGGCCAACCCATGCCAAATTACCCTGGAGCCCCTGCCTCTGGCCCCTCAATGCCTGGCTATGGAGGAGGAGTTCCATCCAACCCTCAGGCACCACCTGTTAATGTAAAGTTGTCATTCACAACTAACACATGATGCACACACAGCTGAAACACGTGTTCTTTTGCAATAATTATTATTTTTATTGTGTATGATTAATAGAAAGGATTCAGGGGTACCATAAAAGATTTTCCTGGGGCCGATCCACTGAAGGATGTAGAAGTTCTTAGAAAAGCAATGAAGGGTTTTGGTGAGTAAACATCTTCCTTTATATATATAAATAAAATATAAATATAAATATATATATATATATATATATATATATATATATTTTTTTTTTACGATTTGTAAGCTGATGATAATAAAATGTTTGATTCAGGCACTGATGAAAATGCTATCATTGAACTTCTGGGAAATCGCTCCAACAAGCAGAGGGTTCCATTGATCGCGGCCTACAAAACCACATATGGGAAGGTGTGTTAAAAATTTATGATTAATAATGGTTTATAATTCTTTCTTCTTTTTTTTAAAATCCATTTCAATTCTTTTTTCTTTTTTTTTTAGGATTTAGTCCGTGATCTGAAGTCTGAGCTCAATGGGGACTTTGAAGACCTGGCCCTGGCCATGCTGAAGACCCCTGCACAGTTTGATGCATCGGAGCTCAGAGAGGCTATAAAGGTTGGAAGCTGCAGCTGTTGTTTCAGGGAACGCTCTAATTCAGGATTTTTCAAAGTGTAGGAGAGTCAGCCCGCCTCAGAGAGCTAATACCCCCCCCCCCCCACACACACTCTTCAACTATATTATTGTGTTAATGTTTATGAAGCATTCACACGATTGTGAGCCATTTGTTTTGTGCTATTTCAGCAAGTCATGAATCAAAATATTCAGCTCATTCAGGAGAAGGGTGCTGTGACTTTTACTATTGGTGCAACTTTAGCTTTTTAAATATTTAGCCTTTTCTGCCATTTTTTTCCTAATAGAAAAAGAATTGAGCTCATTTTACACCCTTCAAATCTTTAGATCTGTTTACAACCTTTTACTGATCCTTTCACATTTTGTTCTGGTTCAGCTTCTTTCAGCTTCCTGGTGCAAATTTAAACTACTTTCAGCTGGTTTTGTTTTTTTTTCAGCTGTTTTTTTGCTCCTTTCAGATTCTTTCTGCTAACTACAACATTTTTGTGCTACTTCTAACTTTCTGCTAATTTCAACTTATGCTCTTTTCAGCTTATTTCTGCTAATTTCAACTTTTTCTACCTATTTCAGCTACTATTTAGTTGTTTTTATGTTAATTTTAGCTTTTTCAGGTAATTCCACATTTTTACAATAATTCAAATTTTTTTCAGCTTAATTCAGCAAAAATATGCTCAACCTTCTGGTAATTTAAGCTTCTTTCTACTTTTTTTAAGCTACCTTTCAGCTGTTTTTGTTTTTTTCAAATGTCATCTTTTTTCAGATAATTATTATTAATTTTTTTTTGTGCTCATTTCTGCTTCATTTAGCCAAATTGGGTAAACCTGTTATTTCTGCTTTCTTCTGCTAATTTAAGCTTATTCTAACTTTTCAGCTAGATTTTTAGCATTTTTAGCTCATTTAAGCTGTTTTCAGATAAATTCAAGTTTCATGTTAATTTTTGCTACTTTCAGCCAAACTGATTTATTTATGCTACTTTCAGCTTAATGTGCTCTTTCAGCTACTATTTAGCTCTTAATGATAATTCTGGCTTTTTCAGCTAATTCCATATATTTTTTTTAGCTAATTTCATTTTTTTTCCCCGCTTCCATGATGTAGTTTAAGCTTCTTTTTGCCTTTTCAGCTACTTTTCAGCTCTTTTTATCTAATTTCAGCTTTTTTCATTCACACTGCATTTTCACAGGAAATGAATTTTCTCTAGTTGCTATTATTTTTGTTACAACTTCAGTTGTTGCTATATTTAATGTTCCGTTAAAACTTAAAAACTGGTTGTTGTACACGTTTTTCTTTCACACATTTTAACCATCTGAGCTCTTTTAATACGTTTGACACATTTTCTAATTTAACACCCTACATCACCACAACCCCTTTTCTTCTTTTCCGTTAGGCTACACTCACACTGCAGACAAATGACTCAAATCTGATTATTTATTTTGACCCTGTGACCCATATTGGACTTTTTCATGACAGTCTGAATGTGACAAGTCCTTAATTTGTTTTTATTTTTTTCTAATCCGACCCAGGTCTTTTTCACGTGGTACTGAATTGAATATTTATTCAATGTTTTTCAAAACGACTACAGTCTGAACTGTCATGTCTCATTTCATCCAACTTTTACACAAACAAGATATGGGTGAGAGGATTGATCGAAGTCTTAATAATGATGATATTAACTTCATGCAGCTTTAAGCACAGAACAGTCTTATTGGTTTCATCGTTGTCCTTTTCATTTCTCATGTCCTGGATGACTGAGAACCTACAGCAACAGATGATGCTAACGCTAGAGCTGGACCGTATCAATACTCATTTAATAGGATCAATACTTGGGTTTGTTTTTACCTGCAGTCAGTCTCTCGCGCTCCAAATATACAATGTTGAGTTAACGTCTGTCAAGAGGCAAGTTTAACTGTAAACACTGGCCCAAACAAGCCTGTCTCGTAATAATTTAGAGGGTTCTGATTGCGCAACAACTTCAGACTCGCATGCTAACGTGTGTAGCATCTGTTTACGTCCTCATACACAACGTGCTGATGTCACATCTGCGCATGAGGGTCGCCTCAGAACGGTTCACACTGGAGTGTGATGGAGGACGCACGTGCACAAAAAATGCACCCAAAAAAAAAAAAATCAGATCTGAGCATAAAAAGTGGCTTATTTCAATTCTTTGTTTTCCCCTCACGTCGCCCCACACTTTATAAAACCCCGCTCTAATGGAGTCCAACTGCATGAGCCACATCGTCATGTGTTCGCATGACAAGAAGGGCAAAACAATGCTGAAGTGCACGAGAGCGTCGAGAGTTTTCAACATCTTCTATTTTCAGGGTGCAGGAACCGACGAGGCTTGTCTGATTGAGATTCTGTCGTCGCGTTCCAACGCAGAGATTCAAGAGATCAACAGGATCTACAAAGCTGGTGAGGCCATCTTTGTTTTTTTGTTTTAGAGTCGGAGCTTTCAAACTGAGCCGTGACGATTTGTGCAGAAAAACGTTCACATTTTAAGAGGTGTGCTTTTGCTTAGACGTGAAAAAAGTCAAACATCTACATATGTCTTAAACATAAAACAAGCAGCATGCAAACTGAGCATGTGTCGGGATTAGACCTCTCGCGATAAACGATAAATCAATCGCATGATATTTGAAAATTATCAACCTCATTTTCTTTTATCGGCTTTATTGTTTCTTCGTGTTTCTTTCTACTGAAGACACTGGATGACAAAAGGCTCAACTCCGGTGTTCTTCACTGACCCCTCCCTTTCGCTTTTCTCTTTAAAATCTGTTTTAACCGTCCATAATTGTGTTTTTGGATTGTTAAAAGCAGCTAAGCTGAGAAGCTAAGCTACAAGCTAACAGGCCGACCTCGGGGAAAAAAACCTCCGTCTTGTCGAAGCTCCAAAATTCACGGTTGAAACCCGTGCCTTCGTGTAAAAAGTTGTTTTTCTCTGCAAAAAGAAGCTGAGAACTTGTTTACTGATTTTTATTTTTTTTTTAATTAAAAGCTTTGTCTGAAAAATGCTATGCTAAAGAGCTCAAACCACACAGAGCGTCTGCCATTTTGAGAACCGAAAAACAGGACGGCGAGACAGCCCATGTCACGTCAAGGGGCCTCCCTCCCATTTCTCTTAGAGACGCGCTGCTCGCTCTCTTTCTATCCATTCTTCAATTCAAACAGTCTTATACTGCCATCCAGTGGTTAAAAAAGGTACTACACAAAAATTAACCAATATTTCATGTTAAATTTGACTAATTACTAACTATTGTCAAATTTCAAACAATATTATCGTTTATCGCCATAATTTCTGAGACAATTAATCGCCCAGCAAAATTTGTTATCGTGGCAGGCCTAGTCAGGAAACAGAAAACAAATAAAGTAGTCCCTCGTTTATCGCTGGGTTGGTTGCGTTCCGGACCCCCCCCCGCAGTAAGTGAAAATTTGCGAAGTAGCAACATTATATTTATTTTAGTATTTTTATACATTTTAAGGCTTTATAAATCCTTCCCACGCTCTTGCAATGTTCTAAACTCTTAAACCTACGTAGTTTTAACAACATACGTACAGTATATGTACTTTACGGTACTACAAAATTTTACTCACCAGCTCTGCAGAAACAGCAGCTCGGTTCCAGTCCAGCAGACCTTTCCTACTGGTTCTGCTTGGGTTCTGGTCCGTTCTCTGCAGCCCTTAAGCACCAGAACGCTCTTGGAGGGAGCTGGACCTTCAGATGGCCAGTGTGGTCCTGACTGAGCCCAAATCCGGATGATAAAGGTCCTGGTGGGCTCCCGAGAGAACTCCGGACTTCCAGGTGGCGCCTCCCCACTCGGAAGGCGTCGTAGACCGGCGGGCAGCACTCAGATTTACCGATGAGTCTTGAGGTCCGGGTCTGGTTATGGTCCAGTTCAGTCCCATGCGGGTCACTGTATGAATGACTGAACTTTTTCGGGTCTGATCAGAACTTTCCCTCTAGTATTTCAGCAGAAAGCAACAAGGTTTCTGGGAAATGTAGTCCTTTTGAGTGGCGATACAGTATAGGCTTATTGAGAGAAAACTACAAAATGGCGGCGCCTGTCCGAAATATTTTTTTCGTTATTTTTTTACTGTACCGTATCCCGTACTGTCCCAATCACGTGAGTAATATTATAGCTAACAATCGTGTTTCGTGTACAAATGTTTTTTTTCGTGTTCAATCTTACTTTGAAAAACCGCATAAGAGCGAGTCCGTGAAAGTTGAACCGCGAAGTAGCGAGGGACTACTGTAATCAAATTTGAGGAGAGAGAGTTTGTTTTTCTTATTAACGTTACGTTCCTTTCAGAGTACGGGAAGAAGCTGGAGGACGCCATCATCAGCGACACGTCGGGTCACTTCCGCAGACTCCTGGTCTCCCTCTGTCAGGTATCTTCTGAGGCTCTTTTGTACCAAACTGTGGCACCGTATCTTTGCCTGAGTCGCTGCCTGTATGAAGTAATTTGCTTCTGTTCCAACCAGGGAAATCGTGATGAAAGACCGACGGTTGATATCTCTCTGGCCAAGCAGGATGCTCAGGTATGGGTTAAAAACAAAAGGCTGTTTGGAAAATAAATCGAGCAACTGTTACTGAAACTTACTTTTTCCTCAGAAACTTTATGCTGCAGGTGAAAATAAAGTGGGAACTGATGAGTCTCAGTTCAATGCCATCCTGTGCGCTCGCAGTAGACCACACCTTCAGGCAGGTGGGTTATTTGCAGCACCTCCAAAAGGATTTTTTTCCTCTTCTCTTTGTTTTAGTCAACAACATTCTAACCATCTTGTTTGTATCTTTTGCTGATTTTAGTCTTCCGGGAGTACCAGCAGATGTCTGGGAGGGAAATTGAGAAGAGTATCTGCAGGGAAATGTCTGGAAATCTGGAGTCTGGCATGGTGGCAGTGGGTACGTTCTATACATATTATGTTAAAAAAGACATTTCAACTCTGGTGTTTGCAAAAACATTCAGAACATTTTTATAAATATAAAAATTAGAATAAAAAGTTAGACATTTTAGCTTATTATATGGCTGTCTTTCAAAGCAAACGGAAAATCACCAAAACGTTGATTGCGGTCATCAGAATGTTAGAAGTGGACTGGAAAAATATACGTGGGCACTACAAAATAGCTAAACAATTAAAAATGTTAAGTTTAATGTTCTACTTCTTAAAGGGAGAAATATGTACTGTAACCTTTCTGTTAGAAATAAAAACAAATATAAAGTAGATAAATTGCATTTCCTGTGAAAATACAGTGTGAATGCTTACTGCTGAAGAACTTGCTAAAAAAAAACTGCTGAAATTAGCCAAAAACATGCTGAAATGTAGCTGAAATGGAAGAGCAAGCCTAATTTAGCAGAAAAAAGTAGAAAGAATACACATTTGCTGAATTTGCTTTAAATGAGCAGAAATTAGCACCAAAATTAGGAAATTTGCTAAAAAAAAATGAGCTAAAATTAGCAAAAAATATCTGAAAAGAAGCTGAAAACACAAAGAAGCTTAAACTACCAGAAGGAAGTGAAAAGAGCTGAAATGAGCTAAATTTAACACAAAACAGCTAAATAGTAGCTGAAATAGCAGAAAAGCTGGAACTAGCAGAAAGAAGTTAATTAGGCTGACAGAAGCAGAAATGAGCACAAAAAGTGGAAAGTATCTGGAAAGAGCTAAAATTAGCAAAAAGCTGAAAAGTAGCTAAAATAGCAGAAAGAAGCTTAAATTACCAGAAGAAAGTAGAGAGCACAATTTTCCCAATTAGGCTGAAAGAAGCAGAAATTAGCACAAAATTGTGGAAATTATCTGAAAAAAGCTGAACATAGTAAAAAAAAAAAATAGCCGAAACGTATCTAAAAAGGCAGAAAGAAGCTGAAATTACAAAAAGGAAGTGGAGATAACACGTTTTTGCTGAATTAGGTTGAAAAAAAGTTCAAATGAGTGCAAAAAAATGTGGAATTGGCTGAAAAAGCTTGTATTAGCACAAAACAGCTAAATAGTAGCTGAAATTGTAGAAAAAGCTGAAACTTGCAGAAATAAGCTGAAAAGGAGCATAACAAGCTGAAATTAGCAGAAAGATGTTGGAAGAAGCACAAAAATGTTGAAGTTAGAAGAAAGAATCTGAAAGGAGCACAAAACAGCTGAAAAAGTAGCTGAAATTAGCTGAAAAGAGCTGAAAAATTGTTTAAATTTGCACAAGGAAGCTGAAAGATGAAGCCAGACAGCTGAACTGATTTAGCAATATTGCATGATATTGCAAAACTTGACTTTTAAGGTTAGACTAAATTAAATCCATCTTTGTTGTTTCTCAGTGTACGATGATTTTAGTCTAAGCGATGTCAATTCCTTCATAAAATTCTAAACTCTTTAATCAATAATGGTCGTCAATCAAATCTGCTCCATTTTACAAAGTGTGTGTATTGGCCAGACTTTCCTTTGTTTTTTGTTTTTAAGAATTATGCATATACATGATGGCATTAATCTTTTTATTGTTTTCTTTAGTGAAATGCATGAAGAACACCTCGGCCTACTTTGCAGAAAGGCTTTTCAAGTCCATGAAAGTACGTTTTGCACCAAATGCCTTTTGTTTCCCATAAATCATGTATCATGAGGATTGAATCAATTCATTCATTAAACCAGGGAGCTGGCACCAAGGACAGAACCCTCATCCGTGTCATGGTGTCCCGCTCTGAGGTGGACTTGCTGGACATCAGACAGGAGTACCTGAAGACTTATGGAAAGTCTCTGTACACTCACATCTCTGTAAGTCCCACTGGTCACATCTTGTTGGGTTCGTTTGCTTATAGCTGACACTTTTTGTTGTTTGTCAGGCTGATACTTCTGGGGATTACAAGAAGCTGCTGCTGAAGCTGTGTGGTGGAAATGACTAGACCGATTAACAAGTTGCATCTCGTAAGGACACTATATGTCCACACTGAAACGATGGTATAGGCCTTATATCTCTTGATGCATGCTGCAAAGCTTATAGCCAATCAGTAATATATATCATGTTTGCTGAGGTGATTTTTGCTGAACTCAATAGAATAAAGACAAATCATACTTTAAAGACACTTAGACACAAAGAAAACAGTTGAAGTGCCAGATTACCTTTATAAGCTTTTCCCAGAAAATATTTAGAATCCACTACAAACTCCTAAACATGTCTTCTTTTATATTAAACATATAAAATATTATATAAATACAGTAAACTATTTAGAGCACGGCTTAATTTCATTGCTAAATTGTGTTGGTACAGGTTCCTGTCATAAAATTAGAATATCATGGAAAACGTTGATTTATTTCAGTAATTCCATTTAAAAAGTGAAACTTGTATATTATATTCATTCATTACACACAGACTGATATATTTCAAATGTTTATTATGTTAATGTTGATAATTATAAACTCAAAACACTTGCAAAGGCTTTTAAATGGTCTCTCAGTCTAGTTCTGTAGGCTACACAATCATGGGGAAGACTGCTGACTTGACAGTTGTCCAGAAGACGACCATTGACACCTTGCACAAGGAGGGCAAAACACAAAAGGTCATTGATAAAGAGGCTGGCTGTTCATAGAGCTCTGTGTCCAAGCACATTAACAGAGGTGAAGAGAAGGAAAACGTGAGGTAGAAAAAAAGTGTGCAAGTAATAAGGATAACCGCATCCTGGAGAGGATGGTGAAACAAAACCCATTCCAAAATGTCGGGGAGATTCACAAAGAGTGGAGCAGCTGAAGTCAGTGCTTCAAGAACCACCACACACAGACATACACAAGACATGGGTTTCAGCTGTCCCATTCCTTGTGTTAAGCCACTCTTGAACAAGAGACATCGCCAGAAGTGTCTTGTCTGGGCTAAAGACAAAAAGAACTGGACTGCTGCCAAGTGGTCCAAAGTTATGTTCTCTGATTAAAGTAAATTTAGCATTTTCTTTGGAAATTTAGGTCCCAGAGTCTGGAGGAAGAGAGGAGAGGCACAGAATCCATGTTGCTTGAGGTCCAGTGTCAAGTTTCCACAGTCACTGATGGTTTGGGGTGCCATGTTCTAGAATTGCGCCGCTCAAGGTGGCTGCATGTTGGAGCAGCTCTGTTACTTTCATTTTGAGATTTTGCTTTTGGAAACTTTAATTCCTCTCTTTCTGGATGTAAGTCACATTTTTTGGATGATTGTTTCCTCTGGTATCAGATGCTGTGCAGCTGGAAGGATTTTTACTGAAACTTTTTTAGTTTTAGACATTTGTTATGATGCGTAACCATGGCAACAAGTCAGTTTTCAACAACCAACAGCAGCTGATTAACATCTCAAAAGCTCAAATAATATCTCAACTACAGCCCCAAATCTCAGATGAGTTGAAAAGGATGTTCTGTGGATGCATTCTCATCTACCTGCCAGCTGTGCTCGAGTGCCTGACCACTGAGATCCTGGAACTAGCAGGAAACACGGCTCATGACAGCGGAAGGACAGGATCGTCCCTCGGCACCTACAGTTGGCTGTCCGCAGCGATGAGGAGCTCAACAAGCTGCTGGGAGGAGTGACCATCACGCTGGGAGAAGTTCTGCTCTGCATTCGCGTGGTCCTACAGCCCGGGGGAATTGAGAGGCTAGTCGAGTCTGGGTGGACAGATCGGACGGCATCTGCGGCCAGTTTCTTAGGATCCACTGTGGGATGGACCTTTACAAGAGATCCTTCCTGTCTACAGCATCAGTATCTGTAACATCTCTTAATGAAATGAGGCTAACGAGTTTCAACAACAAATAATTTCCCTCTGGGATTAATAAAGTATTATTGAATTGAATTTGAATTGAATTGAATGTCATCTGCTGATGTTGGTCCACTGTGTTTTCTGAGGGTCAAGGTCAATGCAGCAGTCTACCAGGAAGTTTTAGAGCACTTCCTGCTGCTGACCAACTTTATGGAGATGCAGATTTCATTCTCCAACAGGACTTGTCACCTGCACACAGTGCCAAAGCTACCAGTACCTGGTTTAAGTGCCCTGTTCTTAATTGGCCAGCAAACTCGCCTGACCTTTACCCCATAGAAAATCTATGTGAAGAGGATGATGCGATACGCCAGACCCAACAATTCACCTGGGCTCTCATAACACCTGAGCGGTGCCACAGACTGATCGACTCCATGCCGCGCCGCGTTGCACATACTTTTCATGTTCATACTTTTTATGTTCATACTTTTCATGTTCATACTTTTCAGTAGACCAACATTTCTAAAAAGCATTTTTTTAATTGGTCTTAAGTGATCTAATTTTCTGAGATTTGAAATATATCGGTCTGTGTGTATTAAATGAATATAATATGCAAGTTTCACTTTTTGAATAGAATTACTGAAATCAACTTTTTTATGATATTCTAATTTTATGACCAGCACCTTTATATGCTGGAAAGTACTAATAAAGCTCCATGACTGTTTTGCAGATTATATTGTTAAAAAAAGTAATAATCAAAGACTAATAATATATAATTTTTGAAAGGCAAAATGAAGTTTCAGTTAATTTTTAATGTCAGAATTTTTCAGAGAAAAGTTGTTTTTCTACCTTATGAAGTGTTTAACAAAGTTTACTCCCGCTTGCAAATCTATGCAAATTAATATTTTTGTATCGCCAATTGTTCATGATTTCCGTTAAATGTGCCTTTCATTTCGTGCAAGACACCAAAGTTTAAACAGATTGTGGGATGCCTTTCATGTTGCTTTACCTGATATGGATTAATAATCTGTGCTCATGTTTGCAAGACAGCCAATATATAATTTTACATTATTTGTTTATTAGATGAAAGTTTAAGCTTGTTATGTATTTTTACAGCCAGTAGAGGGCGCCATTCACATTAAGTGCCATTTTAACCTTTCTGTGATTTTTGTTTTTGTTTGTTTTATTCTGAGTCATCCTTGTCACTAAAATTTTCAACCTCAGATTATTTTTCCCTCCCCAAAAACATTCATTTTTCATTTAAATAAAATAAGTGTTTGGCATATCTGGATTGCCTTTTTGATTTATGTCCGTTTGAATGAAACACGGGGGGATTTTCAGCTCGACTCACAACGAGCAGTTTGCATTTAAAGCTGATCGTTTGTGTAGCTCTCATCTGTATTACTGCAGCCGTTCTCTGCTGAGGATCACCAACAGCATCTTCTGTTAAAAGGTGCACGTAATGCGCTTTAAATAAGTTATGTGATCTTTGCTGTGTAGTTTGAGAAAGTGAGAAAATGTCCATGTTCTGCACTTTGCAGTGATAGGGCACACAGAGCGTTTCTTGAGTCTATAAATAGTAAATGTCCTGAAGTTTCTTCTTCTTTTTTTTTTTTTTGTAGCATTCACTTACCTCAAAGTGTAATCTCAAGAGCGAGTCTATTTCTGAGACAAATAACTTGAGTTCACTTTTTTAACTTTTCCCTAAGTGCAAAGAGCCCACCAGCCTGACGACAAAGAGAGATGAATATTTGATGTCTGCACCGATACCTCCTGAAATATAGGTCAAAAGAAAATCAGGGGTGTGGGAGGGTGGACCATGCTTTTACTTTAAGATGCTGATCCTGGTTTCCAGACAAAGTGCTTCAAATATTTATGCACAGATGCAATCAAAGGAAGAACCCTTTCTGGAGTTTGGTCACGCTTAGAAATGCCAGACAAACATATGAGAGAGAGTTTCGTTAGTTTACAGAATATGTTCTCGGGGGGGGGGGGGGGGGGGGTGCAAACTATTCTGACAATTTCCAGGGAAATTTTAGGCTGGGAACATTTTGGAAATAATACTCCACATTTGTTATTGTATGCAACATCTTTATGTTTTTTTTAATTGTATTCATACGGTGACCCTAAAGTGTAAATGAACATTTGAAAAAAAATGGAATCACATTTGAAAATAAAGTTAATAATTAATAATAATAAAGTTAATAAAAAAAAAAAAAACCCTGTCTGGCTTAATGTAATCCCATTTTTGCTAAAGTCATTCCGTTTTTTTCAAAGGTTCATTTACACCTTAGGGCCACCGTATATTCAAATTAAAAACAACAATTTCATTCAATTGCATTTCACATAAAAGTCACTGAAATGTCTGATTTAATGAACACATTTCAAAGTTAATTGATGCGACTGAACAAAATTACTCATTTGATGGTTATTTTTGCCTTTTTATGTCTTCGGAAAAATTAAATGTAGGTCAACTGAATTGAACATTAAAGCTATTTGTTGCATCATCTTACTATTACAATTAGCGCAAAGTCACAACAGAAGTCATCTCGGCACTGAACAGAAGCATTCATGTAGCTAAACAAAACAAGTTAACATTATTTATCTGAGGAGCAGACTGCTTTAAAGTTCTCCATCGCAGAACTCTCATCCTGCGCAAGCACAAAGGTGACAGTGGAAAGGAAAAACTCCCTCATGAGGAAGAAACTTTTAGCAGAACCAGGCTCTGGACAAGCGTCCATCTGCTCTGGGTTTGAGAGGAACAGGAGGGAGGAATAGATACACAATGGCAGGTCCAGAATCACAAGATAGAAATAATATCAAATGAAAACTTCAATTTTAAAAAATCATTTAAGGAAATGAGGTCACTGTCCTCAAGTAGTCTTAAGCCTATAACAGCATAACAAGCCCCAACTATAGGATTTATCAAAAAGGAAAGTTTTAAGGCCAGTCTTAAAACTGGACAATGTGTCAGCCCTAAGGAGAGAAACTGGAAGTTGGTTCCACAAGAGAGGAGCCTGATAACTGGAACATCTTCCTCCCATTCTGCTTTTGAAAACTAGGAACCGCAAGTAAGCCTGCAGTCTGAGAGCGAAGTGCTCTGTTAGGAAAATATGGAACAATAAGATCTGTAATGTAAGATGGAGCTAGGTTGTTGACAGCTTTGTACCTTGTAGGTTAGAAGTAATATTTCTATATTCTAGACTATTTCCACCTGTCTCCAAAAGTTTAGGTGACAGTTTGTCATTTTTAGAGTGTGGTACCTCTCATCGCCTTTCTTTAAGTCAAGATCGTGCTCAAATATATTTTCCACAACTAAAATGAAACCCACTGTTAAGGGCCAAACTTCAGTATTTCACATTTTTGCTTCATTCCTCCTTATTCCCATGAAAAGTTTCCAACTTCGAAATCTGAAAATCCTAGAGTGCTGCAACCCTCGTCATCATTTGAGAGCTGTGAGAGACAGTTTTTTAATCCTCTTAAATTAAAGTTGATGTTTGATTTAATGCAAAACAATGCATTTAGCAACTTTTAATAAGTTAATCAGACATCCCTTTTGTCCGCTGTTGCACATGCTCACTGCCCTCTATTGTTAATACACCATTTTAGTCAATCAGTATTGGCTGAAGTGTTGATTTCCGATGGATTTTCTCCAGCCGTCCAATGAGAAATGTGCAGTTAAGTGACATTTGGTTGCCCAGGACATAATCCTCTAAACTTCATGAGTGCACATAAGCAAATTACAAACCCAAGGATTAGATGAACGACACATAATGAGTTATCTGCAGATATCACTATCCAGACTGCAGAGCTGCACACTTTAGGTCCATGAAGAATGTGCAACCTCACCCAGTACACACAAGAAACGGAGCAGATGAACTGTCTTCAAGCTTAATTTACTTCCCCGTAACGACCATTGCGAGGCTGTTCTGAGTTGACGGTTTTTGCCTGGTGAGCTCAAATGGATTTTCTCAGCTGGGAGAGCAAATGACCAACTTACATAACCGCTAACTGTTAAAACAGTTTTGAACTTAAATGTGGAAATAACGCAAGACTAAGCTCCCCTGAATGCTCTGGCAAGCTCCAAATGAGGATCATGATCTGTAAATAAATGCAATTTATAGAAACTTCTCAAAAGTCGGCACAAACGATGCAAATTTCAACACCAAGGCAACGGCATACTTTTATTTTACACACAAACAGTTGAGGATTTAAGTTATATGTGACGTGTGGCTCCTCGGGGATCCGTTGAATTATGTGGAGCAGAAGAAAGCTGGAGTGGGGGCAGCTGTGGCGGAGGACAATCCAGAGGAGAAACGGGCAGCGCTGAGTTAGAGATCTGATCTACAAAGAAATGTGATCAGAACAGAAAGCTACTGGATTATCCTGATTGGTAACAATCGACCTGCGTCGTCTCATTGATCTGAGCCGATGAGGCTTTAGGAAGCAAATCCTAAATAAATAAAAACGACTTACAAAGCAGTAATATTTACACAACTGCTTAACTGCTAATGTTCCATTATCCACACAGAGAATTTCAATTCAGTTTATTAATTTAGCGCCAAGTCACAACACAAGTCATCTCAGGGCACTGAACGAGTTTTTATTTTGTTTATCTCGGATAGCCTGCTAACTTATAAAAAAGCTCCTCATAAAGCTAGAACTTTATATTATTCATCATCTAGATTGATGATCTAAATCCGAAGTTCAGTTTTGTTTAAAGCCGTTATATATAAAAACTTTTTACCAAAACAGAAGCTTAATAATTTAACAGCAACTTATGTGGCCCTTAAAAGAAATTAAAAAAATGATGCATGCAAGTGTGCCTGTTAGCATTATTTTTTTTTTTTTTTTAAACTACAAGTAACAGAAAATCAGTCTGCCAGTAGGAGATTATAAAGTGTTTTGGTGAACTGGGTCATGACCTTTTATTTCTAGTCTGGACGTTCCTTCTAACCAGATTTTACTGAGCTCAAGCTGAACACGGACTTTATTTTAGTCGAGTTAGAACCTCAAAGCTCAGACATGATTATAGACAAGCAGGTAAACACTATATAACTATAGTTAGACAAGTCTTTCAGATGTTATCTGTTAGATATTGAGTGTTTGGTTGGAATTTTAAAACTATTTAGTTTTGTGGCATGTTTGTGATTTATTTGTTTATAAAATGCAGGAGCATCTTTTAGGAGTAGTGGTTGCATAATTTTTCCTAGTGGTTGTTGTAGATCAGATGTAGGCAACTTAAGGCTTGAGGGCCAAAAGCGGCCCTTGAACAATCTCCTTCAGGCCCCCAATATCCTTAGTTTAAAAAAACAACAACAAAATAACACCTTAAAAATAAAAAGATTTATTAAAAAATAGCAATTATCAACAAGACTTGAGAAAATTTAAATTAAACATCTTACGCAAATTAAAAAAATATATATTTTTTGTGTTTTGAGTGAACCTGAAAGACTTAGAAATACAAATATATAAGTTTATTTAGAATATTTCCACTAACATGTTACACTTGTTAGTTAACATATAACATTAGCTAACATGTATAATGTCACAAGAGCCAGTTTACAAAATATGTTTTATACCTGTATTCCTAAAGGATATTGTTTTTTATAACGCATGCGAACTATGCTACAAGAAGAAAAAGCTTGAAAAAGGTCTTCTAGATAAACTGTTATAAAAAATAAAAAAATAAAATTCTTTATGCGACCCTTTGATTGCTTTAAATGTCTTGATGTGGCCCTTTGGAAAACATATGTTGCCCACATCTATTGTAGATGTAAATACTGATATAGACAGGTAGATTTATATATGTATTTATATTTAAATATTTAATTACCAATGTAGTGTTATGCAGGTTAAAAAAAGTTAATAAAAGAGCACAAGTCGAAGTGTATACTGTGTATCTAAATATTAATACACCATATTATATTTAGGCCTGTCACAATAACAAATTTTACTGGGCGATTAATTGTCTTAGAAATTATTGCGATAAATGATAATATTGTTTGAAATTTGAAAATAATTAGTAAATGTCAAATTTAAGAAGAAACATTTGTTAATTTTATTTTGCGTATAGTACCTTTTTGACCACCAGATGGCAGAATAAGACTGTTTGAACTGAAGGATGGATAGTAAGGGAGCGAGCAGCGTGTCTCTTTACGAAAAACGAGAGGGAGGCCCCTTGACGTGACAAGGGCTGTCTCTCCTTCCTTGTTTTCGGTTCTCAAAATGGCGGATGCTCGGTGTGGTTTGGGCTCTTCAGCATAGCATTTTCCACACAAATATTTTAATTAAAAAAAAATCAGTAAACAAGTTCTCAGCTTCTTTTTGCAGAGGAAAACAACTTTTTACACGAAGGCACGGGTTTCAACCGTGAATTTTCGAGCTTCGGTTAAAACTGATTTTAAAGGGAAAGGGAAGGGGCAGTGAAGAGCACCGGACTTGAGCCTTGTCATCCAGTGTCTTCAGTAGAAAGAGAGACACAAATAAACGATAAAGCGGATAAATGAAAACGAGGTTGATAATTTTCATTTATCATGCGATTAATTGATTTACCGTTTATTACGACAGGCCTAATTATATTACATTATTATTGTTTAGTATACATCTTAGATCCTTATAAACTACTTATTTTTTTATGCTTTATGTTTTTGCTAATTTTAGGTGTAACTGGGACCTTGAGTACACACATGTGATGCGACAGTAAAGAACCTTGAATATAAAAAAAAATTAAAAATACTTTTGTTTCTATAAAAACTTTAAGAAGTGTAACTTATTAGACCAATTCTTATAGTCGAAATAATTCCAACATTGATAAAACTGGCAAAGTCTTCATCCTTAATGACAAGATCAAAGGGGCGGGGAGCCAGGTGTGCTTGGAGAAGAAGCCCCGCCCACCGCTACCTTAAATGTCCATCGCGTGGAGACGTGATTGGTAGGCTGCTCAGTGAGACATGGCGGAGTGAGCAGACGCTAAGAAGACTCTCAGAGAGTTATCAACACGCTGAAACAACTTTATTTGAGGACAAAGCGCCTTCGCAACACATGGAGCGAGACGCTTAAAGAAAGTCTTTCGTTCTCGAGAAAGACGGGAAGAAAATGTGTCGTCTTCCTCGCGCAGTCATCAGCCCCGGGCAGCAAATATGGCTACTTCTTGTGTATCCTTCGTTTCGGGTTGAAACCCGTCCCGACTGGGTCGAACGGGACGGTTTGGAAGAGGCTCGACAGTAAGAAAGATTTAATCGACGAAGCTGCGTCAGCGAAAAGGAGGGGGGGGGGGATAGAAGGGAAAGTGGTGGTGGTGGTGGGGGGGCGAGGAGATGGAGCCCCAGCGTAAAGAGTTGTTGGAGAAATGTTCCCAGAACTTGTTGGAGTCGATAACGGACGCGGACCGAGTTGTGGATGTTCTGGCTCACTGCGGGGCTCTGAGTCCGACCGAGCGGTGCGAGCTGGCGCACAGCTCCACCAACTCTGGGAAAGTGGACCTTCTCCTGAAGATCCTGCTAAGTAAGGACCGAGACTGCTTCGCGGAGTTCTGCACGGCGCTGGAGACGACGCACCCGCACCTGCATGCGTTGCTGCTGGATGGCATCGGACCAGTGGACCACACATCTGGTGAGAAACTTGTGCACGTTTTTTTTTTTTTTTGCTTCTGTCATAATTATATAATGGCACCTATTGACGACCTAAAGGGCATGGCTTTCCTTTAGGCAACAGAGAAGGACACGAAGTGCACAGCCACGTGACCCTGTTCTCACTGCTGTGCTTGTGTTCGTGGATGTCACTAAAAGCACAGCACTGTTTGCCTTTTGTGCAAGTATTTAATGGGCCTGAAAGGATTCAAACGATCAATACAGTGACGGCACTGCCTGTGAAGGATGTGCGCGCATGCGGGATCAATAAGCCACTGTCAAAGTCAAATGAACGAGGGGATGAAATGACTTTCCCAGCAATGAATGGACATCACTCATTGGTGCTTTACAAGCTTGTTCTCATTGTTCTCAGTTTCTTCACAAACTCTTAAAGAAACCTCTTTGGGATATTGCTTTAAGAAGGTACACGCCACTTCCTCCATTCAAATGATTTGTTTATTTACCTTTTTAAACATGGATAACTTTATAGTACTCAACACTAACAGTCATAATTAAAGCATTAGAAGTTATGGATGTTACTCATTGCCTTTCATGGCAGAGTTAATACAGTACACCATGTTTTTATTATTGGTGTTTAGCGTATATCTTGAATCTAAACTTACTTTTTTTTTTGTTGCAATTGTTGGGTGGAACTGGGACTGAGTACACTATTTCGTTCCACCTCAGGTACCACATGTGATGCGAATGACGAAGATACTCGATTATGGTCCAACTTTAAAAATAAAGGCCTGCGAGGTTATTATGGGCATGTGTTGTGAATGACTTTCACACATTTTTTAATATTTGTAAAATTTTCTGTTCAAGGTGAGTTTGTCATTTGCATCACATGTGGTACATGAGGTGGAACAAAACTGTGTACTCGGTCCCATTTACACCCAAAATGGCAAAAAATATAAAGCATAAAAAAAGAACATTATACAAGGATCTAAGATATATGCGAAACAATAATTTAATACAATAGTGTATTAAACAGCAGCCTGAACATGAGTCTGTTGTGAGCAGATGGGTATGGATGTAGCAGCTGATGGGTAAGAAATCAGCAGCATGCATAATCAGCAGCACAGATGAAGTGTCAAATCTCCAATTAAAGTGGCATTAGTGATTTTTCTGGTTTGGGATTTATGAGTCTACCATCTTCAGGGTAGAAGCTGTTCCTCAGTCTAGTGGTTCTACACTTAATGCTCCTCAACCTCCTTCCTGAGGAGAGTGGGGCAAAAAGTGTGTGTGCTGGGTGAGTGGGGTCCTTCGTGATGCAGGTGGCCCTCTTCCTGCATCTGGAGGTGTTAGATGTCTGATGGCGGGGAGGCTGACTCCAACATCTTCTGTGCAGCCTTCACCACTCTCTGCAAAGCTTTTCTTTCTGCAGCTGGGCAGCCTCCATGCCACACGTTGATGCTGGAGCACAGGATGCTCTCCACTGCACACCTGTAGAAGGAGGTGAGGACTGAGCTGATTTATGTAGCAGTACGCCATTAAATTAAAACTTTCTTCACAGATAAATCCTAAAGGTATACAAATACTTTTGCTCCTCTTGTGCAGAGATATTCACTCAACCTTTATTTAGACTGGTAAATCCCATTGAGCCTCGAGGACTCATTTACAAGGGAGACCTGGTGGGTCTCGGACATGTCTATGATGTATATCTCGGATATCAACAGATGATTGGTGCGGCCACACAACTACTTGTACGGTGAGACATGGCGGCGTTGGCTTCCATGTTAAAAATCCCATTGAATTCTGTATAAAGTACAATGGTTTGTTTTATATCATTCCGTTACGCAGCAGGCTAGTTCATAGTTGCGTTCCTTGCTCAGAAACTCCAGTGTTCTGTTGTTTACATGTTCTGTGTGGTTTAGTGTGTATCTCTGTTTTGTACTTGGATAAGTTGCAAATGGGCTGATATTTCTGGCCACTGGGTTTCAGTACGTACTTTTTTTTTATGTTGCAGCAGCAGCCTGGTTAGATATTTATTCATGCCAGAGTAAGAGATCAAGACCACCTTTTAAACAAACTTCCTTTTTGTAGTTGCACAACATGTCAACTCTTGAATTGTTGGACTTCTAAATTCACTTGAATATGATTATGTTGCATTAAAAAAAAAAAAGGTGTGCTTCTTCAAGGGTCCATTTGTTTTTAATAAAAAAAAAAAAAACTGGTACGCTCTGGGTTTTATATAACCATAGCTTTAGGGCTTGACAGTAGGAGTCTTTTTGTTTACAGATTGTTCTTAAGGAACAATGACAAGGGTGGCAGATTATTCGGGTGTGTTCTATGGCTGGGGTGTGCACAGGACCGTATTACCAGGGATTTTTGTAAGAACCAAATCTGTTTGTGTTCGTTCTTTGTACTTAAACTATTGCTAAATCTTAGCTACTTCAAACCAGGGAGTAATCAACTTTAAATTGCAGTAGATGCAGTGAATATTCAGGGCAACTTAAGAGTAATGTTTCATCTCCTTACTGTCAGCAGTTTCTCTCAAACATCTCGGAAGCTTCAAATTTAATCAGGTCAATTTCTGCTTGGCTTTATTTACACAATAGTTTAAGTCTCAGTAGCTTTAACATTGACATTCCATGTTTTATATTTGTGCAAAAATTTATTATAAATGACTTGAGCAAGTAGTAAATGTAAAAATTAACTATTGTGACTTGTTAATAATAGCTGGTTGTTGCACCTAAAATTTCTGGAATACCAGAACAAGCCGGTGACACTGATTCTTTCTACTTTTTTTTAAAAACCAAACCAGTTCATCTGACTGCTGTGCAAAACTCAAATCTGCAAGAATCAGTTTGACGTGTCTCTGCTGTAAAAATAAAACTGACCTGACTCCTGTTATAAGAAATGCATGTTTTCTCGCTCGTGTTAATAATTTATTTGAAGTCTTAATTTTGTAGCCAGATTATTTTCAGCATATAAACATCAGTTCATTACGTTTGAAAACAAAATCCAGCTGTTTTTTCAGAAATATTTTCAAAATTAATCTGTTTGTTTCATTGTCTTGATAGTAGATGCAAGATGAACAAGACTATGGCTCTTGAATTAACAGATTAATCCATTTTCTTCCACTTATTCCAAAGTTTGGTCTCTGGGGCAGCAGCTTGAGCAGGGAGGCCCAGACATCTGTTTCCACTGCCACCTCTTCCAGCTCTTCTGGAGGATTCCAAGGCATTCCCAGGCCAACCAAGAGACATAATCTCTCCTGGGTCTTCCCCGGGTCTCCTCCCAGTCGGACATGCCTGAAGCACCTCCCTAGGAATGTGCCCATGGGTCATCCTTACCAGATGCCCGAACCACCTCAACTGGCTCCTCTCGACGTGGAGGAGTAGCAGTTCTACTCGGAGTTTCTCCTGGGTAACTGAACTTCTCACCCTATCTCTAAGGGAGAGTCCAGCTACCCTGCGGAGGAAACTCTTTTCAACCACCTGTATTCGCAATCTCATTCTTTCGGTCACTACCCAGAGCTCATGACCATAGGTGAGGGTAGAAACTTAGACAGACCGGTAAACGTAGAGCTTTGACTTACAGCACAGCTCTCTCTTCACCACAACGGACCGGTACAGAGTGCAGTACTGCAGACGTTGCACCAATCTGTCTGTCGATCTCTCACACTATTCTTCCCTCACTTGTGAACAAAACCCTGAGATACTTAAACTTGAGGCAGAACCTCACCCTTGACCCGAAGAGGGCAATCCACCCTTTTCCGGTTCAGGACCATGGCCTCAGATTTTGTGGTGCTGAGTCTCATCCCAGCTGCTTCACACTCGGCAAACCGCTCCTGTGAGAGCTGGAGATCACGGCACAATGACTCCAACAGGACCACATCATCTGCAAAGAGCAGAGATGGAATCCTGAGGCCACCGAACTGGAAACTCTCTGCCAGCTGGCTGCACTGAGAAATTCTGTCCATAAAAGTTATGAATGGAATCTGTGATGATGGGTAGCCCTGACTGAGTGCAACTCCCACCCTGAAGGGTCCGACTTACTACCGGCAATGTGAACCAAACTCTCGCACCACTTTTGTATAGGGACTGAACAGCCCGTAACAACGGGCCTCCGATCTCATACTCACGGAGCACCCTCCACAGTGTATCCCAAGGAACACGATCGAATGCCTTCCCAAAGTCCACAAAACTCATGTGGACTGGATGGACAAACTCCCATGACCCCTCGAGGACCCTAGTGAACGTAAAGAGCTGATCCAGTGCTCCACGGCCAGGACGGAAGCCATTGTTCCTCCTGGATCTGAGGTTTGACCAGTGATTGGACTCTTCTCCAGTACCCCTGAATAGACCTTACCAGGAAGGCTAAGGAGAGTGATGCCCCTATAATTGGAGCACACCCTCGGGTCTCACTTTTTGAAGTGGGGAACCAACACCCCAGTCTGCCAGTCCAATGGCACTGGATGTCTACACAATGTTGCAAAGACATGTCCACCACCAAGACAGCCCCACAATATCCAGAGCCTTGAGGAAATCGGGGGTGAATCAACAAATTTTTATTTAAACGATCCCAATAAGAAATCAAGGTATTAACTAAACATTTTTAACTAACATGCTTCTTTAACAATTTGATATTTTTATAATAAAATAATGGCCCAAATATCAGATGTTTTTAGACAATAGTTTGTTAGCTATTGGTTTTGGCTGATCAGTTATTGTATTAACCATTTATTAGGAACTGCCTACTAAAGCAGCACTTATTATTATCCACCTGACTTAGAGTTTCTTAACTTTATATCTAACAATTCCATAAATTTTAATGCGGCCTGAACCGCAATGTGTACTCCCACAAATTTTATATCAAAATGACCGGCTCGTCACTGATGTGTGCTGTTACTTTTGTTGGCGTTTTGAGTTACCATGGCAACATAATTTGCAAAGAAGGATGCCATTTTTCTAATTCAAAATGCCTGATGGGGCTCAACACGTTCCCAGCTGCTATAAATCATTATTTGAGGTATTG